TTTTTTTTTTAATTTCAGATTAATGTAAGGGTACAAAAAATTAAGTTACAATGTTTGCATTTGTTAGGTAGAGTCCCTGTTATAGTCCTGCACCCATGAGGTGTGCCATATACCCTTACATTGTGTCCACAAAGGGGCTTTCTCACTTTCTTGACCCTGTAATGTTCTTAGGTTTGTCTCTCTGCTTTCACAGTGTTAATTTGTTTTACTAAACAATCTTTGTGAGGTAGGGGAATGCAGGATCAGAGACCAAAGGATAAATTAAAAACTTCAGATGGAAGCTTTAGATTACTAATAATTAATTTGGAAAAAAAATTAGTAAAGGACTAGAATGACCTTGAAGACACACGAAGCCTGGTGTATCTTGAGTGTAGGGAAAGTAGTGGGTATTACTGGTTATGCTAGGAGTTCATGGAACTCTCTTGAACAGGTACTTGTTTCTTGTGTAAATTTCCTTCCATATCTTGTCACTCTGCCTCTGAGGCACAGAATCTGTGAAATTAATTTTGAAGTCTCGAAAAGATGAGGGTTATGGGTTCACATTAGGAAAGGGAATAGTAAAGGAATGTATGAATTGAAGTGTGCCATCAAGGAACATTTGGGGGAATCATGTAGCTAGGAAAAATAATAGCTAATATTTAGTGAGGATTTTTCTCTGTTGTGCAAAAAGAGAAGGAAGAATTCCTTATTGAACTAATTAACAAAGAACATCTCACTACCTTCTCTCTAGTCAACTAGAGCATCCATAATCTGAAAATCCAAAGTGCTCCAAAGCACTCCAAAGTGCTCCAAAATTCCAAACTTTTCTAGTACTGACATGATGCTCAAAAGAAATAATTGTTGGGACATTTCAAAATTTGGGTTTTTGAATTAAGGAGGCTCATCTGGTATGTATAATGCAAATAAGCCAAGATCTAAAATACTATACTTCTGATCCCAAGCATTTCAAGTGGGGATATATTTAAACTATATTGTAAAAAAGTTGATGAGCTGATTCATGTTTTGTTAATGTGACACTTAGATAATCCAGACTGATTTCTCTACCTCTGCCATCAATGGTTGATGTTTAAGGAATGTAAATTAATCTTAAAGTCAGCCTTACTAATTTTAGAAAGAAAACCTACTGAAAATAAAATATATCATTCTTAAACAACATGCCATTTGTTGGATGACTAGGTCTAAGAATTGTGTAACTGAAAAGGTCTGAACCAGCAGTACAATCTTGAGCTTTATACGAGAATTATTGACAGCAGAGTTAACCATGTTTTAGAGAACCCATTTGAGAAGGATCCCGTCAGACCTACATTATACAGAATTGATAATCACCTGAGATCCCTTCATAAACTAGTGATTCAGTTCTACAAATGTAGTGATTATTGTCTACTTTTTGTAAGATGATAATACTGTGTAGAGTTACAGATAAATGACAAGGTCTTAATTTTGAGACGCCTGATAGCTGTCCCACCAAGCCCCATAGAAGTTAGTTTTACAAATGACCATTTCCAGTGACCACTTTCTTTCTCAGGTCTCTTATGCTAATGAAATTATCAGATGATAGCCCAGTTTTGGAAGGGCAGAATCAGGGACTATGTAGACTTTGACAGACTGGAATGATGGACTGGATTTAAGAAAGTGTATTATGACAAATTCTCACAAGTACAAGATTAGGATGGGGGCTAGAATATAACAGCATATATAAACAATTTTAAGAGTATATATACATGAATTATGAATTAGCTACAAAAGAGCTATGTTGTATTAATTGAAAGAATTTATAAAAGAGGATTCACACAGTGTTTTATTTGTTTATGAATACTCTTTAAAAATGATATATAGGAGTGCTAAAGCAGTTTATGTAGGAAAGGATCTATGTGGTGAAGGGTCTTAAAATGAAATTATAACTTGGGATTGTTAGTTTGAGAAACACCATAGAGAAAGCTCAGGAGAGAGCATGTTAGCCATCTTTTAGCTATCTGAAGAGGTATATGAAAGAGGAAGCAATGGGACTTGTTTTTAATAGCCTCACAAAGGAGTTACGGTGAGTCTGTTAGAGGTATGCAGATTTCACCTAATCTAAGAAAGCATTTCCTAACTGTTACTGGCAACTTGAATGTGCTGCCCAGGGAAGCCCCAAATTCTCCAATGTGGGAGCTTTCTCAGGCTAATAGTAAAAATTAACCACATTTGGAGTATCTTGGTGGTTGGATGGACTTCCTTCCAACTTGGAGATACAATGATTCTTAGAGTTGTTATTGAGATTCTTCCCTCTTTCTTGGCATCTCTTCCTCTCTGCAACTTAGTTTCTGTGCTTTCTTGACTTGTGAAATCCTTTAGGGCTATGATGCTACTTTTTAAAACTACAAAATTGCAGTTATCTTTATTTCCACAATGCTTTAACAGACAGTAATTAGCTTGCATGAATTTCTCATTCAAGTGTTTACTCATACCCCTATGAGTATGAGTATGATTAGATTGTTGATAATTTTCATTCATAATCAATGGTGTGATAAGCAGTCATATAAATACATATTTGTAATTATCTTTGATTATTTCCCTGCCATACTAATCAGAAAGTAAAAGTGCTTGGTCAAAGGAGAGGCATAATTTTTTTTGAGACAGAGTCTCAAACTATTGTCCTGGGTAGAGTGCTGTGGCGTCACAGCTCACAGCAGCCTCCAACTCTTGGGCTTAAGTGATTCTCTTGCCTCAGCCTCCCAAGTAGCTGGGACTACAGGTGCCTGCCACAAAGCCCAGCTATTTTTTATTGTTGTTGCAGCCATCATTGTTGTTTGGCGGGTCCAGGCTGGATTCAAACCCGCCACCTTAGGTGTATGTAGCTGGCGCCTTAGCCACTTGAGCCACAGGCGCCAAGCCTGGAAGTTAATTTTTCAAAAGTATCAAAGTATTCAAAATTATGCCTATTGGGCGGCGCCCGTAGCTCAGTGGGTGGGGTGCTGGCCACATACACCGAAGCTGACAAGTTCAAACCTAGCTATCCACAGGTAGAGGATTGTAGAAGTTGATAGTCCTAGAATAGGATATGGCTGCTGAAGACATATGTTCTAGTTGTCTGAATATGAATTTTCATCATTATCTTTCCTATTTCCATATAACTACTATCAAAGTGGTTACAATATATTTTTAATACATAGGAGGAAGTGGTAAAGTTGACTGAAAAATGTCTTAATAATGCCATTGAGAGTCCAGGATTGAATGCTGTGAGAGTTCCTCCTGACTTTAAGAGTAACATTTTGAAGGCTCAAGTAGAAGCAGTACATAAGGTAAGCTGTCTTTATTTATTTATTTATTATTATTTTCTATTGAGAAGAGTCTTACTTTGTCACCCTCTGTAGAGTGCTGTGGCATCACAGCTCACTGCAACCTCAAACTCTTGGGCTTAAGCAATTCTCTTGCCTCAGTCTCCCAAGTAGCTGGGACTACAGGCACCCACCACAACACCTGGCTGTTTTTGTTTGTTTTTTTAGCAGGCCTGGACCATATTTGAACCCACTAGCCCCAGAGTATGTGGCCAATGCCCTAACCCACTGAGTTACAGGTGCCCAGCCTAAGCTGCCTTTAATAAAGACAGTGCTG